GAACTGAATGGTATTGTAAAATAAAAAATATATATCACAAAAAAAACACACATTAAAAAAAAAAAGATTCATGTTACAAATGTATCTCTGTAATCCAGGATGGCTTCAAACTTGTGATCCTCCAGCCTTAGCTTCCTGAGTGCTGGGATCATAGGCATAACCACTCCACTGGTTCTACATCACTTCTTTTGATGACCGTTTATCCTACTATTTGGGAGTCCTTTCATTGAACTTATTCTTCCACAAGTCTGTTCACTATGCTTTTAAACATGATTGTTACAACGCTGATTTTTTTACAATAGAAAGATAGGGGTTCATTTATTACTTTTTTTTTTTTTTTACAGACAAAGGCACCCAATGCTTCTACTTACTTCTTATAAAAGACGATCAGTTTACATTTAACACAATAAGCAAACAAACAAAATCCCACAAAACAAAATCTTACCAATCAGTTCCTAAAGATAAACACCAAGGGCAGAGGCAAGAGTCCCCTCCCACCTCCCCATTTCTAAGCTTCATCTGGCAAACTGGAGGAGTGCTTATTTGATTTTCAGTAACATGTTGCCATTACTGAAATGACCCTCAGAATATTTTAGGCTAAAACTTCTGAAATGCATAGGAAATTTATTCTTCTCAACTAAGGTCTTTTCTTGGGTTTTAAAATGTCATTTTTTTTAGTCAAAATATGCATTAGAGAAGTTCAACATATTTACTGTATAAAGAGTGGTTCTGTTTCACATCATCTGGAATTAGGCAAATGTATAGCTCCAAGGCAGAAGATAAAATTTCCTGATATAAATAGCTATCATTTGTGATTTATATGAATGTATAAGTTATCATTAGGAGGCAGTGTTTAAAGAGAGACATGTAAAACGATATTAGTCTCACAGGGATACGGGGGTAGACTTTAGTCATAAAATTACTGCTTGTGTACATGCTCAGGTTTGGGTAAAAAAGATCCAGAAATACCATTTATGTTTCTGATTCAGATTCCATAGGTGCTGACACAGAATTTTCAGAACAAAGTAAACCTTGAGTTTTTCTCCAGGTTTCAGTAAGGCAACAGCTGACAAGGAAAATCCTTAGTGAAATCCAATGTTAGATTTTGTTGTAGAACAAAAAGTGGCCAGGGAAGCAGATCTTCACCCCTCCCTCTTCTCCTCCAAATCCAATCCCCAGGTCTGTAGCAGACCACCTGCTGTGGTCTCAAGTCCCTTCCTGCTCCCCTCTTCCCCAGTGCATCACACAGACCTTCCCCTCCAAACTTCCTTTCCCCAACTCCTTAATTTATACCAGCCCCCAGCCCAGGCAGACAGGCACTTCTAGGGAACCCACATCCACACAGTTAGAGATACCTGATTTTTGATAAAGAAGCCAGAAATACACCCTGGAAAAAGGATAGAGCCTTCAACATTTGGTGATGGTCAAACTGGAGGGCTGCATGTAGAAGAATCCAAATAGATCTATGCATATCAACCTGTACAAAACTCAAGTTGAGGTGAATCAAAGACTCCAACAAAAAACCAGACACAATGAACCTCATATGAGAGAAAGTGGGAAATAGGCTTGAGAACATTGGCATAGGAAAACACTTTCTGAACAGAACATCAGTAACCCATGCTCTCAGAGCCACAGTTAATAAATAGGACCTCATGAACCTAAACATCTTCTCCATGGCTAAGGACACCATCAATCAGCATGCAGAATGGAAAAGATTTTTTCTCAGCTACACATCTGATAGAGGGCTAGTAGCCAAAATATAAAAAGAACTAAAGAAGTTAAATATTAAAAAATCCCCAATACAGATGTAAAAAGAGAATTCTCAAAAGAAGAAACAAATGTCTGAGAAGTACAAAGAAATGTTCAATATCCTTAGCTATCAGGAAAATGCAAATTAAAATTACTTTGAGATTTTATTTTACACCCATCAGAATGGATAAGATCAATAACACAAGTGATAGCTCATGCTGGAAAGGGTGTGGAGTAAGAGGAATACTCATCCATTATATAACCATGACAGAAATCAATATGGCGGTTTCTCAGAAAACTGGGAATTGATCTACCTCAAGACCCAGCTCCTCCATTCTTGGGCATATATCCAAAGGATGCTTAAACTGTGTGCATTACTTCTCTACTCATAATAACCCCAAATTGGAAACAACCCACATGTCCATCAACAGAGGAATGGATAAGGAAAGGGTGGTACATTTACACAGTGGAGAATTACTCAGCCACTCAAAAATGTCGCCATGAAATTCACAGGTGCTGCCTAACTTCAACCCCAGCACTCAGGAGGCAGAGGCAGGAGGATCTCTGTGAGTTCGGGGTCAGCGTGGGCTACAGAGTGAGCTCCAGGACAGTCAGGGCTGTTACACACAGAAACTCTGTCTCACAAAACTCAAAAAAGCAAACAAACAAACAAAAAAAAGAAAAGAAAAGAAAAAAGAAAAAAGAAATTCACAAGTAAATGAATGGAACTAGAAAAAAGTCACCCTAAATGAGGTATCCCATACCAGACCCAGAAAGAAATATGCTATGTATTCATTTATATGTGGATATTAGCTGTTAAGTCAATGGTAACCAAGCTACAACCAGTAGAACTACAGAGGTTAGGTATACAGTAAGAGACTAGGGGGAGCAGATAGATTTTGTCAGAAAAGGGAAATAGAGTAGATAGTTATGGATGGATAGGGGACTTGAATGGGAGGTAATATGGGGAGGATGAGGGAAGAAGGTTAGGAGGGAAGGAATACATAGTGGGACAGCTAAAATTAAGGTGCATTTGAGGAGCCACATGGAAACCTAATACAGTAGAAGCTTCCTAAAATATATACATACATGAAGGTGATCTAAGTGAAACCTCCAAATTATGGGGGAGACAGAGTTCCAACTGGCCATCTCTTGTCACCAAATGAAGCTTCCAGTACTGGGATTGGGTTACATCCAATTGAGTTGTTGGCCAAAGGGATCATATGGTAATCTCCCAACAACCCAAGCTGTTGCCAAGACTATAATTTGCTCTCCACAAGCTGACGGTAAGGCTCCATTGCTGAAGACAACACCTACAGAATTCCTTGAGCTGGTGCCTACATCAGTGACTTTTCACCCCTATGCTCTAGTCTTTGGTACATGAAAGTACTCCCTATGCTATTAAATGAGAAATGTAAATACCAACCCAGCCACAAACCCTTTGATCTCCAATGGTGTCCTGCCTACAAGGTATGCTAGGGCAATGGTGGCATAAAGCTTGTGGAAATAACCAATTAATATCTGATTTGACTTAAGGCCCACTCCATGAGGTGGAACCCATACCTGACACTG